AATTGAGCTTCTCTTAATAAATTGAAAACCTGTTGGAGATGTTGTAAATGTTCGTCATAACTTTTAGAAAATATGATGATATCATCAAGATATACTAATACGAATTTTTCTTTTATTTTTCATAATATATCATCCATGGCTCGTTGAAAGGTAGCTAGTGCATTGCATAACCCGAATCGCATTACATTAAATTCATATAACCCATATTTCGTAATAAATGCTGTTTTAGGTTTGTTCTGTTCCCTAACCTTAAACTGCCAGTATCCTGAAACTAAGTCTAAGGTAGTATACCACGTTGCTCCTCTCAAGGATTCTAATAATTCATCAATCCTTGGTAAGAGATATCGGTCTTTTATTGTTATATCATTTAATTTTCTATAGTTTACGCAGAATCTCATTTTTCCATTCTTTTTTCTTACAAGAATTACAGGTGAGCTCCATTGACTTTGAGAAGGTCGTATAATTCCTTGATCTAATATATTTTGAATTTCCTGTTGAATATACTGATCATCTTTTACTGACGTTCGATATGATTTTAATGCAACTGGTGGTACATCTTTAGTAAATATACAATGTTCATGTTGCTCTGAATGTGTTAATTTCTGTATTGTGGTTGCAAAACTATTAAGATTTTTCTCAAGAAATGCTTTTATTTGTTTCAAAGAAGCATCTTTTAATTATTCACAGGTTGTATATTTTCCTGAATCATTACCAATTTCTACTTGAATATCATTCTCTTCTATCTGAACTTTATAGGCAGCTTGTAGATCCATACTATTCCTATAGTATTGATAAGTTTGTACTGTTCTTATAATTTCTCTATAGTCATCATATTGACCTTCATTTTCCAAATTTTTCAAACACCAATATGTAGTCGATCCTGTCCAATTTCTATTTTGTTATACATCCATTTCATATTCAATTTGTTGTAAGTATATTTCAAGATATTCCTTTCCATTTATTTAAATTACTTTCTCTTTTTCTTTGGAAACAATAGTAAAACATTATTAAATATCGATATCTTCCTCCTCTTCAAATTCTAATTCATTTACTGTTATTTTAGGCTTGATTGGTGTAAACCTTTCTGGATGTATGTCCTGCGTGCAAGTTATGGACATTATAGAAGTTTGATCTCCTTGTTGTACAACTAGGATGCCAGTATTATAGTCAATGATTGCACGAATTTTTTGCAACCAAGTATTTCCTAAAATAATATTATATCCTATAGCATTGGTTACTAGTATATCTTTATTAACAGTTATTCCATTAACTTCTACTGTAACTCCTTTAATTATCCCTAAAGGCATCATGGTTTTTCCATCCACTTCCATGATTTTTGTTTTTGCAGGTTCATCAATTTCTTTATTGATTTGCCTAAGGTACCACTGAGTAATAATACTTCCTACAGATCCAGTATCTACTAGAGCATTTATAGGATATCCTTTCACTTGGGCTTCAATAAACAATGCATCCTTGATAGGTTCATCACGTGCCGTATTACTAGTAACAATGTGTTTCTTTAATTTAGATATGAAAAGTTCACCATATTTATTATGTGTTGGTGTCAGTTCATTTAGACCAGCCATTTGTAAGTATTCATCAAACTCAAAGAGTTGTCAATCGCTATGTTTAGTAGGTTCAGTATATTGAGGTATTTCTTTATTTAGCTTTACTTTATATACGTCACAATTATATGTAGGATCATTTAAGATGTATTCTAAGCGATCTTCATTCAATTGTATTCCAGTTTCTTCGTCAATTTCTTGAATCATATTCCTCATTGATGATTCCTCTAGTTCAACTTTCCCACTGACTATTTGTCATAAGTTATACATTTTCTTATTTGATTCAATTCGTTTTGAAAGATAGATTCCTTTTCATCATATAAGATCCCTAACACATACTTCAGCCTCTTTTTAACAATAATTTCTCCTTGTTGTTAGAGATCTACTGGTTTAATTAGCTGATTTTTACTGAAAATCCTTTCATCAGTTAGTGGATCCTTCCATTTTACTTCCTTACACTTGCATTGTACTGCTATTCCTTTAGCAATTTTATTACAATTTATGCATACAATATGACTATGGTGGTCATATTCTTCACAACTAGAGTGATCATATTTGTTTTCATATGGTCCTCCGAATCGCATTTTTGAATTCATTCCTCTACATACATAAGGTACTTCTATTAAACTTGCTTTTGTTTTTACTTTACCTTGATTATTCTCTTTTGCTTCTTCCTTTATTTTCACTTTTAGGGGCTTTGGTTTGTTCGCACACTCACCCCTAAGAGGTGCAACTTCTAATTTAAATGCTGTTAGTTATTATTATTATTATTATTGTTATTATTGTAGTTATTATTTTTATTATTATTTTTATAATTCCTATTCCTGCTATTACTGCGGTTACGATTTCTATTGTTATCATTTTAGAAGTTTCAACTTTTATTATTGTTTGTACTCCTACAATCTCTGGCGAAATGGCCATACTTTTCACAGTTAAAACATTCAATATTTGATTGGTCATTATTCATACGTCAATTACTTCTACAATCTCTAGACAAGTGTCCAAATTTTCCACAATTAAAACATTTGTGTGGCCGTTGTTGTGGCTGTTGTTGCTGTTATTGTTGTTGTTGCTGCTGTTGTCCAATGTTTGTCATAATCGCTTGTAACTCTTCATTCAGTTTGCGATTAATAGTGCCCTCAATATCTGGTTGCTATGTAATATATGTAGGTTGCATTGCTATACTTATGCGAGCTGGTATCATTCTTCCTTATAATAATTGCATATAATTAGGCATCAATAAATAGGCAGATAATTCCATTCCAATAGAATATGCAGATTCTACTGCTCTGGTCTTTTCAATTGCTTGATCTACTGTTGTTAGCATTGCTGTTTGTACTAGTACTATAAATTCTGGTCGCAGCCCTTCAATAAATTCAGCAACTCTATCCATCTTAGCTCGCCTATACTGTGGATCAACTCGCTTCTATAATTCTCCTATTGCTGCCGCATATTCCTCAATTATTTCACCTGGTTTTTGTATCCTATACCTAAGCTGATGCTTCCATTGATTTTGTCAAAATGTATTGCAGAAATGTTGTTCAAATAATGGTACGAAGGAAGTACCGGGATTGATCCTACTATTCCAGTTGGTAACATATTGTCGTTGGAACTATGTCAGTGCTGTTTCTGTTAAATAACTAGGAAATATTTCAACTATTCAAGTGGTATTAATATGGTTTGCTTTACAAGCTCGTTCGAAAGCCTCAAGCCACTCTACTGGGTCTTGATTTCCTCCTCTAAATGTTGGTAAATCTACCAATCGTTGTTCTCTCATTTGTTGTCCTTGAAGCCATCCTGCTAACCCTTGTATGACTTGAAGGTAGGCATTGTCATTGTTTCCTCCTACTGGTACTATAGCTGGTTGAGGTGTAAGTATTGGTTGAGAGGTGTTTATATTATTTGACGGTTGACTGCTAGATACTGACTGAGAAGTTGTTGTGCTGGTTAATTGAGAACTACCCCCCAGGAGTTTGATGGTGGTCACATATTATATGGTTGGGCTACTGTTGTTGACTGTGGGGTTCCTTTAATAGTTACATTTTGATATCCTATTGTGTTATTTCCTTTGTTATTTGAGTTACTTTTAAGCCAACGGTTATTCACTGGTTGCCAATTTGCGGTTATAAAATTAGAGATTGTAGATGAGTTACTATTTTGGAGAGGATCAAGTGGTGCCAAGAAATCAAACATACGACTATATTGAGTTGCTTAGAAAAAATTGTAGGGATTTTTCAATGATGATCCACTATTTGTATTTCCTACCGATGGAGTTGTTACCCTTAAATTTGATGGCCTTGACGATTGATTACTGGATAATGTTGAGGCTACTAATTGTTAAACATTTTCTACCCTAACAGGGAATGGAGATCTCCTATCATTTTTTGTATTAAATGTAACTCTTCGAGGTATTCTACTTAGGGTTCCTCCTCTCTCTAGTTCATTTGCATTGTCAAAGAAAGATGTTCCCTGTAATGTTTTATCATCGTCATTAACATATCCAAATAAGATATTTTATTCATAATCAGAGGCATATGTATCATTTCATTTTCTTCTTCGTCATATTGCCTCCTATCTCCCAGATATGGTTGTCATAGTTGTACATACGATGGTATCTTAGATGGTGGTTGAGGTGTGGTAATTCCTGATGGTAGTCCATACATTGCTACTGGCAGTATCATCCCTGGGGAACTTTCATTACTTCCCTGAAAAGGTGCTATGATAGTATCATTTTGATCTCTTTTCATATTTTCTGAGGTATCACTACAATTGCTGTTTATAATTGAGTCAGTACTGCTAATACTTTCAATTTCCCATGATTGAAACTGTTTTGTTTTTACCCAAATTTGATATAATTTATCAGCGATGCTATCAAAGGATTCCTTTAGTATGTTGTCCCTATATCTAATTGTAGTAACAATTTTCCTCAACAAATATTTCAATAAATGATCTCTTTCCAAAAAGCTAGCCTCACTTTCTTGGGCCCTTATAAAATATGCTACAGTAAAGGTAGTGTATGATATAGCATTATATTTAGATACAATTCACAGAAACCAAAAATTATCGAAAGATGGTAGTTTTCCTGATTGAGTTTCATAGTCTGAATGATACTGTAGGCAGAATTGATCCAAATAGATAATAAATGAGATTTTATGATCCTCAAGTTCCTTATGAACAGCTATATATTGTCGGATGGTTAGTAGGTATTATTCCTCAGTGATGTGATCAGTACTAGATTCCTCCAGATTTATTGAGACTCGTTGTTAAAGTAGTCGTCACTAAATACTAATTCGTCCTACGTGGCCTTAATCTTATGAAATTCAATAAAATATTTTAGGTCATTAATGTTGCTTTGTAAACGTTTAAGATGATTGATTGAAATAATTTGTTCGTTCTCTAATGCTTTATACTAAAATTGAATCTCAGCGACTCGCAGCTGGAGTTAGAGGAGAATAGGTCTTACAGTTACTATTAATTGTCTAAGTGTCCTTCGCATACGTTTGATTTATCAGATTAGTTTTTATTTCACCCAACCCACACCAAATTGTTATCTTACGATACTAACAACTAAAAATTAGTATTAACACAAGATTAACAAAGGGATTTAGCTTTTATTCAATATTTTTTAGGGAGAGCTCTGAAGGGTTTATAAATGATTATTACTTCAAATGATAAGGTATATTTAGAATAAACTTTGAGGATTTATTAAAGAATAAAGAATTCGATACAATTATATTTGTTAGCATATAACTGTTATTAGTATTTATCTTGTTGGTGATAAAACTAATTGAATTCTAAATGTTTACAATTATCTTGTTATAATTGTCTACTGCTATCTAATCATGTTCTTTAACCAAGTCCTAAAGCTATCCTATTTATACTAATTCTGCTAATATAAATAAATAAAATACTAATTGATTATAAATAATAAATGATTAATAATGATTAATAATATAAAATAATTAATAATATAAAAGAATTTTCTAGCGACTTCTGGGTTTTTTGCGTAACCTTCATTTAATTTATTTCTCTTGTCTTCACCATCTTCGCCGTCTTCGTCATCTAACATGATGCAGTCAACATGCCTTTTAGTCACGTGTATCACATGATCTTTTGTATCAATATCTTTCTATAACAGTATAAATTAATATCAAAGAATAAATATTAATAGAGGAGTAATAATATTTAATTATGAAGAGTATATAAATTAAATAAAATTTATTATTTATATAGTTACATAAATAAATAAATATTATATGGGGCATGCTGCAACAAAACCAGACAAAGTGAACATTGGTGTTACCAAAGATTTCAGGGATTAAAATTTAGTAATGTGATTATTAAAATCTTCCATTTGTCATCCTCTTAATATTAGGTGATATATAGAATTACCTCTATATAAAAATAGTTAATATGAAGTTAATTTACATCAGATCTATTATGGAACCTAAGAATTATAGCACCATTAGAAGTATTCTAAAAAAGGAACAAGGTGAAAAAATTGCTCCTTACATTTTTAAATTAGCAGACACCAAATCTTTGCAAACATATTTAGATAAAGAAAAAATTACCTATGAAATTTACCAAGAAGAAAGAAAGTTAATAAATATTAAGAAAAGAAAGCAGGATGAGGATGTGCTATTATCCAACAAAAAGCAGAAACCCTTAGAAGGAAAATAATAGGTACAAATTTATTATCTATTTTATCTTTTCCTTTTTGGAATTTTCTCAATAAGTAACTAGATTTCTAAAACTAATACTAATGTTCCACCAACCATGATTTAAAGGATTCTCTTTCATGATTGAACGCTGATATTTTTTTATTTTTTTATTTTAATTCTGTTATTTCACCATTTTTATTTTCCAATAGTTATTCTATTCGGCATATCTGTTCTTTCTTGAAATTTAATAGAAGGACCTTTATTAATTATTCAAAGATATAAATTAAAATTAGAAATTTGTATCGTAATTTATTGTGTACTTAATTTTTACTATATTCTAATAAAGATTATATGGGAGGATATTGCTTTATAAAAAAAAAATAGTTCTTCCATTTCCAAAATTTTATTATTAAGATCCATAATAATTGTAGGTTATTGTTGAAATTTTGATTTGATTGTTGCTAGTTCACCTTTATTCTTTGAAGTTGCCTCAAAATACCAGATTCATCATTATTATCATGACAAAGTCTTTTATTTTTTTTTCATCATTAAAGTTGCTAAATTGAAAAAATTCTCATGAAAATCGTCAATAATGACTATTTGATTATAATGTTTTTCACATAATAAAAAATCTTCTAAAGAATTAATTAATGGAGATAATTCAAGAAAATACTTAACTAATTCAATTATCTTTTCAACTGCAGTGTGTGATGATGCATGCTTCCAAGTTCATGAGTCAGTTTTATATGACACTAATTGTCTCTCTGGATATTTATCCAGCTATGTGTTTAAACAAACATGTTAAATTTTTAGCTGGTTGTCTTGTATTTATGTTATTTGAGTAATCTTGGTAATTATGCAAAAAAAAATTAAAATAATAATAATTAATCATAAATTCAGACTGAAATATGTCTCATATTAGGAAAAAACCAATGTGTAAACCTTTGTGAATGAAAGTGGATTATTAAACTATGTATTCAAGAGAGTGTATTCCTATTTTTTTAAGGGTAGAGATCTTCCTATAAATGATTTTCATTATAGAAAATGTCCACAAAATTTAGTGATCTGCATTACATTTCAATACAAAAAAATACAAAAAAAAAATACAATAATAAAAATTTTATAATAAAATATTTTATTTATTTTGTCGAGAATTAAATATTTTTTCCCAATTTTCTTGCATTATTATTGCAGTAGAACCTTCATTGACACCACATATATGAAGGTTTGTCTGTAATATGCTTCCATTTGAATTTGGTCTATATAAGTTTATCATTACTTTTACTATATTACGTATTATAAGCAGATCGAGCAAATGTAGTACTTCAGCTTTAGTCTTAATCAACCTCTCTTGTTTAAAAGTTTTATCGTTATAAGTATTCAACAAGGTGAGTTCTTCATGATCGCATTTCAATTGACAATAAACCTGTATAATGTCCTTTGGTGAAGTTATTTTACCATTTTCGTTCAACTTACTCACCACTTCTTCACTTACCTCTACCATTTTGAGCACATCTGACATCAAATTAACTTTAGATACAGGTTTAGCTTGTACTCGTAAACAGTTGTCACAATTTCCACATGGAGGATTCAGAGTATCACCATTCCATGAAAAATATTCTGCTAGCATATATTCTCTACAAGTATATTGTTCCTCGCAAAAATAAACAACTTCAAATATTTTTTCCCTTGATTTAGCCAGATAGGCTAGCCTTTTATCTATTTCAGAACCTTCACCTATTTCCTCAGTCACTCTACAAAAATTGTTTGTATTATTATTGGTTTTAATTTTACATTACAATATCAAAATACTTACGATTCTCTTCCTTATGTTATAATTGTATAATTAGTACAAATATCATGGCGGGAATAAAAAATCACAGATTTTGCAAGGTTACGATCTCTTCCTGCTCTCCCTGTTTCTTGGACAAGATTGCCTATTATAAAAAGGTAAGATTATATTATATAATTCTGTTTAATTTTTAAAAAAGTAGTTTACTTACCTATACTCAATGGAAATGTATAATGTATTACTAGGCAAATTTTTTTGTCATTAATTCCCATACCAAAAGCATTAGTTGCAATCATAATCTGAATTTTATTATCTTTCCATGATTTCATTTTTTTATTTTTTTCACCATTACCTAGAGAACTGTAATACACTGCTATATTCATATCAAGATCAGCTTTTTCACAGAGATGTTCATAAACATAATCACACATATGCACTGTTGGGCAGTAGATAATGCATTTTCCATTTTCTAATTCTTTCAACAACATGATAATTTCTCTAATTATTTTCTCTTTAGTACTTTTAGAATGTACCTCTATTTTAAGTTCTGGGCGTGAAAAAGAAATTCCTCAAATAAAGGCAACATCAGTTGGAGAAATACAAAGATTTTTCAATATTGCATGAGCATCAATTTTCTTGCAAGTTCCTGTAAGCATCATAATTGGGCTATTGGAAAATAGAGTGGTAATTTTCTTAAGTTTGTTCCATGACTCTCTTTGTGAAAAGTTAATATAATTATTATTGAAATTAATGTAACTTATTAAAAAGCCAATTTATTTTAGTTTTTTTACCTATAGTATTCACATTCTATAATACAAGGTACTTCATCTATTACGAAAGACACAGGTGAATTTTTGGAAAAGTTCAACAGCATTCTGGTAAATGATTCATTATAAACAAAACTTTCTGCAGTCACATATATGAGTTTCATCAATCCAACAGCAATTTCTGAAAAGACTTTTTCAAAGTATTCTCGTGGCCTATCTTCACCAGTATAAATACTAGCACACCCAATTCCAGCAGCAATTGTCTCAATCTATAAAAGAGTAAGGTAAATTTTCTTTCTTTTAAATATAAATCATTAATAAAACTTACCACTTGATCATCAATTAAAGATACTAATGGGCTTATTACAACGGTCAAACCTTCACGCATTATAGCAGAAATCTAATAACACATTGATTTTCCAGCACCTGTTCTTATTGAAACAAAAGTATGATTTCCATTAACATATTCTGATATTGCCATTTCTTGTGATTCTTGAAACTTTTGATATTTGAATACTCTTTTAAGCACATCATATGATGTAGGTGGATTAGCTTTCAAGTCTTGTGAAGGTGGTGTGTATTGATTATTCGGAAATTCATGATGATATCCAAACTTCAAACAGAAGTCATGATACTGACACAATCCTGTAGGAGAATACTTGGGAAAAGCACCACAAGCCAGACATTTTATAATTTTTTCAAAATCAAATATATATTTGGCAAATGTAGGTTCAAATTCTTTAGCTTTTATTTTTTCCTGAACACTACATCCATAAGGTACATAATCCTAAAAAAATTCAAAGAATATTAACATATTATTTAATGTATTTCAAATTAGGTTGTTTACCTTGTCCCAATCAAATGTCTTGAGATTCCTTTTCTGTTCTTGAATCTTTTCACCACGTTCTTGATTTCTTTCAGCAATACTAATAATGTTTTTCTGATTTTGCTTTATTCGCTATTCACTTATTTGATTGATATTATATTTGTCAGCTTCAGATAATTGTTGAATATTACAAGCTGACCTGGAAATTTCCAGCATATTCAATAAACTATTATTATATTGAAGAACAGCAAGGGAATGGCGTGTGGTGTAAGTTTTCCAATAATCAATTTTTTTATCCTGAAAACAAAGTTTAACACGATTGAATGCTTCATTGTATGATGTTCTAATGTGAGTAATTAAACTTTGTTTTGTAGGTATATAAAAAACTTTTTTGAGAAACTCTCTAAACTGATCTATTTGATTGCTTGTATGATCTTTCAAATGTGTTTCTTTTAATTGAATATCAGGGTTTTCTTTTCTCCAACATACTTCATCCCAACAAAGGCTATGGTTATCTGAAAGGTGAGCAACAAGCCCATCAATCTGTACTTTTTCTAGTTCAGCATCAGATACAGTAATTTTATTTCCATCAAGCTTTCTTCCACTTGCTGCATACACACATGAATTATAATAGGTCATGATTGTATTTTCATAACCTTTCTATATAAAGTTTTTTGCTGTAAAAAAAGGGGTAATAATAAGTGGAGTATATAAAAATAGGTATGTGATTTAAGAAAGTTTACCTATCTTTGCCCTTATATTCTTTCTAACATGTTTCAAATCTGCATATACTTTACTCACACAAGGAATATTATTAAAAGTTTTATTTGAGTTTAGGTCACCATCTACACAAATATCCAAGAGTACTTCAGCTTCTTCCAATACTGGTGTAATTTTTTCAATAATTTGTAACAATATTGCATGTTCCATCTGACGTAATGATTGCTCATGATTGCCATGAAAAACTTCATACTCTTTGCCATCTTTATTTTTCAACCGACATGGTTTTTCAGCAGTAGAAAAGGCAATAACAGGTTTGTGGTCATAATCTATTTGTAAAAAAGACTTTAATTAATAATTCTAACTAATAAATAATATTGTATTACCTTCTAAATTTCCCTGAAATATTAGCTCTCCACTAGCTTGATTTGCATTTCGACAATGTGACCAGGAATAATCAAAACTAGTAGGAAGTATTCTTTTTCCTTTTGCTTTGATATATGCAATAGCTTTTGTTAAAGAAATTTGTGCACTAACTTCAGCTTCATTTTTTATGCTTTCCAAATATTCATTTTGTTTATCATAATAATGACCTTTTGATGACTGTGTTATTACTCCCATCATAGAAAAAATGGTTTGAAGTTGTCTCCTGTTAATACCACCAACAAGTCCTGCTCCTGCTGCAAGTAAAGAAAATTTTGTATTGGGTGACTCATTATTATATTCAGTAATTCCTTGACACATTTTACAATTGATTGTAATTTGAAGATTATAGCCAATTTTATGAACTTTCAGCTTCTTTTTAGACAAATCAAGGTTATGGCATGTTAAACAAGGTTGAGTAAATATGTTGGTAAGATATTGTTCAGTATTAACTAATATTGTTGATCCAAATTTATTTTCTTCTATAGTTTCTTGCACCTAATCTTCCAACAACTCTTTATTTTTTTTTTCATACTGATTATATTTAAAATTCTTTGCATATTCAAGATTAGCTTTAGCACGTTTGAATCTTTTACGTAATGCATCACTTGATTTTTTTGAAGATTCATAATCAATTGCAAGAGCTAAAGTTGCTTCTGAAGATAAGTTTACACCTGTTTCTTTAATTTCTATTCCTTGACAAATTATTGGATCTTGTGAAATTATTGATGAATTTCTTGCCTTTGCAATTAATTTTTCACCTTTTTTTTGCATAGTTGCAGTTAGCTTTACCATTTTGTTTTGAGATTTTGTCAATGCAACAGAAGTTTCAAAAATATTGAACTGACTTTGGATTGTAGATCATGTATAATGTCAGGGTTACCAAATCCAAGAATGTCTGGAATAGAAAGATTCCCTAACCAATTTATGTATTTCTTCATGCTAGTAAAAAAATCAGGGTTTGTTTCTTCATGTATAATTTGTGTCATCTCCACATTATTATAAATTTTCCAATGATATGTAAGGTACTCATTATTACTTTGAATTTCTAGATAAATATATAACTCGCCAAACTTTCCAATAACACAATGTCCAGGAAGTAAAGGAACAAACAGAACAGCTGATGTATCTTTTTTTCTATAATATGGATTTTTAGAATGACCCTCATTTATTTGTAATTCAGCATGAATAGTAAGAATCTTGTGTGGTTTTGATATATCACGAAGCATGTATGCACCATTTGCTCTTTTAAATTTTTCTAAAGAAGAATTGTTGGTTTGCATGTATTGTATCCACTGTGGAATCCTACAATAAATAAAAAAAATCAACAAAAATATAGAACTTATATATTTATTTGCTTATAATAAATAATACCTTTCTCTTTTTTTACTATTGTTTTCCATTGTCACTAAATAAACATATGTATAATAATAAAATAAAACTGGAGAATTAGTTTAAGCTCGACAATTAATAAGTTAACATTAGACATTTGTGACTTTCGCGATTTTACAGTCATTCGCAACTTAATTAGACATTCACGATTTCAAGTAAGTTAAAATAAAATGTTATTGCATTTAGCATAGATATTTATGTGTTTATGGAAGTTACTTATGGATAAAATAGTCTTCACGACTTTAACAGTCATTTGCAAATTTTTACTTATGGATTCGCTAACTTTATATGTGATTCGCCAGGAATTTGAACTTCGTTAATAATATAAGTCTTTATTTTTTAATACTAACTTTTAATTTTTTTTACATATAGTTAAAAATATAGTTCTCAGCAATATATTCCATATGACTTTATAAAGAATAATAAAAGATATGTCGCGTTTTATTTTAATATGTCACGGGAAATTTTTTTGGACATTTTCCATATTTGATTTTGTAATAGGTAGATCCTCTACCCTTAATATAGAATTATTATTGGCTTTGACCAATCAAATTTAACGTGTAACTGGATATTCTTGCAATAACAATATTAATATCAATCCTGTAACGCGTTACTTTTATACAATAAGTTTTCATTCCAGCTACACAGTTAACTTAGATATCTCATGTCGGAAAAGTGGGTGCACGAGTATTTCAATCGCAGACCCTCTGAATGGACTATTATAGGGTTTCTTGAAGAATGTGATGCAAATTTACTTACTGATAAGATCGGACATTACCTTACTTCTCTCAAGAACATAACTAAAAATGATATTGGAAATAGGTGTAAAAAGGCACAGGAATTGTATGATCGTTATAAACAGGCAAGTCCAAGAATTTTTATAGTTAAAAATATTTATTAATAAGAAATTGGTAACGTGGCAAGAATCTCGAAGATTTTTGTCATTCAAGTCTCTAAGATGAGTTACAAAACCAGTGCTAGGGCACAGATGATCTCGAAGATTGTCTGATGTTCAAGTCTCTAAGATGACCTAGTACTGGTCCCACTGGAGCGTGGGCAATCTCTAAGATTGTCTGACGTACAAGTCTCTAAGATGAATCTGGTGGGGTGAAAAAAAGTTAGAGAAAAATTATAAAGTCACTAGTCAAGAATACTACTAATTTCTAAGCTCTCCTATACTAGGATTCCCGACCTGATCGCCAAATAGCACGAGATTGGCTATCTCAAAAAAGTAAAGAGACTGCTGGAACTTCGATACACTTACATCACCCAACGTTTAAGGGTAGTTCTCTAGGAATAGGAATGATCAATGGCGGAACATTCAATACTGGCTTGTCACCAAAACAAGTCCAAGAGGTACAGATGCATAGTATTTTCTGGCAGGAAGTTATGAGATTGTGATTGTTGATAGAAACTAAACCTTTTTCTTTTGTATTTAGTCTGATGATGATTTCCAACTTGTCATGCCTATCAGTCAAAAGCGGAAGAAACAGTTATCTCTTTCAAAAAAGGTCAGTATAATGGTAAAATTTTGTGTTGCTTTGAAAGTATGTGAGCATTTTTTAACAACTTTATTATATCTACAGGATAAAAAATCGAATGTTTCAGTCAAAAAGGTATGTATAAAATGTAACTTATGATAAGGATCTGTTCATGTGAATTCCTCAAAAATTTTCTTGTATGAACAGGCTAAAACCACCAACAGGAACATAGATGACGATATTTATGATCCATTTATCAGTGATAATGAAGCCATTGATTTGGCCGAGAGTTCTGAATTTTCGAAAGATAATTCATCATCATCAAGTTCAATTAAAATCGCACGAGATTCCTTCATATCTGCTTCCTTTGACAACAAGCCACAAGATCTTGATAGCATATCACCTGACCCAAAAGAGAGCGAGATGGAGTCAATTGACATAGATCAAAGTGAAGAAATCAGAAAGCTCACGCAGGTATTTATTTTACTATTTGCTAGGTTTATTGCCTTTTAATTATATGTTCATTTCTATTTAATTTCTAGGATGAAATGGATATTCGCAATAAATTACTCGTTATTTTGTCTGCACGAAAAGAAAAAGATATGAAGTCTGGAAAAGATTGCATGTCTTCTATACCTCTTAACAATATTATTGATTTATCCAATGATAAGGTGTCTGAAAGAGTTTATAAATCATTGGATGAAAGACAAATTGAATGGCTCAATAAAGTTCTCGAACAAAAATCCTGGAAACAAACAGACGAATTTAATTCACTGAAGATGTTTGTGATAGAGTAACCATTCCATGTATAGTTCGCAAGTCTTTTGTAATACCAATTGAATCATTCAACTCCTTTCGTCATGAGGGTCATGACATCGCACAACGGATTTTAATACATTTGTAAGTGTTTATTTTTTTTTTTTTTTTTTTTTTTTTTATTTTTAAAGTGCGGTAGTTCCACATAATCTTTATTATGATAAAAGTATGATATAAAATAAAATACAAATCAAGAAGAAAAAATGAAAATCTCGTAAAGAAAAAGAAAAACTAATCTAAAGAAGACCGACCCTGCACTCCCCCGAATCAAATCTAACCTAAGCTAAAACTATCATTTTCGAGTAAGTAAACGACTAGAGCAGAAGAGGGCTTGGCCACTACTACACCAAAAATTCGTCCAGTGGGATCCAAGTTGCACCATGGTGTTAATCGGATCAGAGTTGTTACTATTGTTGGGAATACCAAAGGGCAGGTCAAAACCTGTAGAGGCAAAATTCTCTTTTTTGTTATCAATGTTAATGTTAGCAGCTTTTTCGATATTGGATTGAAGGATACATCTTTCAACCCAGAATCGTTGTGTTTCTTCAAAAATGAAGTGCATAATGGAGGAACATGCAGCTAAGGCTGTAGGTGTATGCGGAATGTTGTTGTGAATGAGTTTAAAGAGGCTGGTAGGTACAATACCTTTGATAAGAACCACAAAGGAAAAGGATGTAGATAAGTTCCACCAGTTGAGGCTTTCGATATCGCTATTTTGTGCATTGGTAATGAATTTAAGAAAATCTTTCACGCGACGGATAAGTAATTTCATTTCATAATCAACCATTGGGCAGGTCCAAATATGGAAAAAGTCTTCATCTGCTGCATCACATCGGGGGCA